ATTCTGATTTCTTTTTTTGAGGAAACACCATATGTTTTACTACTCTAATACTTCTTCAAACATAATTATTATGGTGAAATTGATTTCCATCATGATAAGCTCTAATGAGCCTTGTATTGATATTGTAAGGTAAAGTAACTGACTATCACTGGTGAATTTCAAGGAAAGGGTTTGATTTAATAAGGCACTGGATCAAGACATCATATCTCCCCAGTCTTTCATCACCTTTGAGTAAGAAAAAGGTCGGGACTGGGAATGAGTAATCCAACCTAAATTTGTTTTACTACAGCACTTGAACACCTGATGCCAAGCAAAAATAATTACCACTGTTGGAAAGTATTTTTGATATTAACACCAAATATAATAATTATTTACTTTAGGCCCTTCAAATTCACAAAATACTGATGTCAAATCAGCTAGGAAGGCAACACTTCTGTAACTAAAATCTAGTCTCCCACTGCAGCCGATCTGATCACTGTTACAGATGATTTCCAGTCCATACTGCGCACTATCGAAAGTTTGTTTACCTTTTTTGTTTTTCTTTATGTATGACGTCACAAATTGTGAACATTTTGCATTTACTTACATTAAGTAAATTCAAAGTTTCATGTCAACCGCCATTACTAATATGGACGCGAACCTTTATGTTTCGTTCTTTCTCATATCACAAACTGAAACAACTTCGCAACTGTAAAAATCAATGAAGCAGTTGGAAAAGAATTTCAAAGACCTCAAAGATAAGGTATGTGGTTTGTACCAATAACATCAATTCACATTTCATCGAGTGAGATTTATGTTTATAAACATTAGGGTGCTGAGACTGCACAGTGCAGACTGGAAATCATCAATGTGTTCCAAAGATTACATGCAAAATCTAGATTAACAATAAAAAAACAAAGCACTCATTTTGTCTAGTTGTGACTTCTACCAATGTTGCCATCCGCCAGTTGCTTTAGCTTCTGACAGCATTTGACCTGATGTTGTTTTTTACTGATGTACAATGGAATGGATGAGGACAGCTCATCACTGTATGGACAGTGCTTTCCAATCCCAGCGGCAATCCACTTATTAAACGAATGCAGTAATCACTGACAGGACATCACTCCAGGTCTGCTAACCACCTGCCAAACAGAACAGATTCAGTCAGCCGTCTACTCAAAAACATTGCTTATGACCCTGCCTTAAACTAATATGAAGTCCTACCTAATTGACCTTGTTGTTTTCTTATGGTCTCTGTCCCTTTGGCAAGGTATTCGCCATTTTAAGGTGAAAATTATTGTTGCTTACCCTTTGGAATAAACAAATTAAGTGAACCCAACACCAATAAATAGTAACTCAACGCCGACTTTTAAACAAAGTTGATGAAATATATGAAACTGTTGTGCAAACTGGCGATACCTGTATAATCACGTGTACACGCGCGGTCAACTTCAAACTAGTGGCAATTTAACTTATCTACTATAGTCTGTCTTCTACCACGACATACCACGTACCTCATGTTTGCTAACTCTAAGCAGAACTCCTTTCCATTTCTTCACGCATGTATTCAAGGTATTCGAAAGATTTTTCCTTCCCTTTAGTTTGTCTTCGCGATTCTATCTCTGCAACACATACATCCAGAGGATTCATTCCTTTGCTGTTGCGCATCTCTCTCCATTCCAGCGGCTTGAAAAGGGGAAACAGTTTCAGGAAGGAAGTTTTAGAATACGAAAGAACACAGCAATGTAAGGCAGTGTTTCCGTCATGGTCAGCACTTCGAACATCAATGCTTCCTGGCCGTGTCATGAAAGTCGGAACCGATTTTATATTTCCGCTTCTGATCGCCACGGACAAAGCGGACATTCCTGGAACCAATTTCTTGGCTGTTGAGTGGTGCCTGTCAAAATCAAGAGGCAGCTTACAGTTGAGGTCTACTTTTCTTGTAGTGATGAGGTGCTGCATCACATGAGGGCTCATAGAAGGCATGGAGCAGGCTTTTAGGAGGGCGGTGTACCCTTTTTCATCGGATACATTCAACTCAGCAACGGTAAAATCCTTAAGTCTGCTGCAAACCTCATCAGTAGAAAGATCGCTACTTCCTCTTTCCTGAATTTGAGTTTTGGTATACCCCTGAATTTCTTTGTATTCCCGCCAGAGATCCACGATAATTTCCGTGATACGATTGGTTCCTTCCATATATGCGGGGATGTTAAGAGGGACCTTATTTCTGGATCCACCTTTTGAAAACAAAACGTCTTGGCCTTCGCTGGCAGTGCTGACGTTACTGGCATCATCGACATCAGTGCTTTCATCGTCATCAGCTTCAGCAAACAACACGTTGTCCACCGTTGTCATCATCTCGTCATCTTCTGACGCTACTGAGATGCTGCTCGGGCGTCCGTTTTTGTTTTTCGGCGCCTTCTTCATATTTTTCTCTCTTTCTTCTAAACCAGGCTCACTAGTTGACGCTACGCTTCTATTGCTCTCCGTCGTTTCACTTAACGTTTCTTGCCGATGTGCCACTGACGTGGAGTCGTGACCTTTAAAGATCGCATGTTTGCTTTTCTTTTTGTGCTTTGGTCTTTCAGCGAGTGACTCAGTCTTCGATCTTTTGACTTTGCTCTTCCCCTTGCGCATAGTTTCCGCATGTGAGGTTTCAAGAGTGCATCCATTCTCTTTAATGTTCAAAACGGATATGTCTTTTTCCCTTTCTTTTTTGACAGAGACATCGCCCTCTCTGTCATTTTGTGGAATGTATGGACCGTAACTCAGTTGCTCTGCACCAGTAGCGGACATCAAGTCGTCTTGCTGACGGAACCTTTTGCTTGAAACGGAGTCATCAGGTGATTCTTGAAGGGGTCCTTTTAGGCCTATACTCTCACTACTTGTGTTTTGCACACTTTCGGATATGGAACTTCCCTCCATATTTGGCTCGTCTTTGATGTGCACCTGGTTGTTCTTATGGTTGCTTTCCTGTGTGATGGAGGTCAGGACTTCTTCATTAGTTTCCTTGTCTTGTGGGAACGATGCTTCAATCAGAATGTAGCGCAAAGTATGTCTCCTCGGATCAGCAGCAGAGAAAATTGCAAATTGAGCGTTTCTTGCTCTCATTTCGAGGCAGCAGCAAATCAACTTTGGTATGGTGGCTACCGTCACTTGAGGCCATTCTTCAGCTACTTCCTTTGCACTTGTGACGAGCAGAAACTTTTCTTTAGTGCTGCAAAATTTTGCATTCAGATCCAGAATATCCTTAAATCTCCGATTTGCAACAGAATAGGAAAGAATAACAACCGCAGTTCCATCGACAAAAGCTTCCTCCTTTTCCTCGATCTGTTGAACAATTCTTGCAGGAGAGACCGGGTCTTCATTACCCT